CCCCTTTTATTAACCTGGGCCCATACAATTTTTTTTTCATTATGGGGTGAATGTACTACAAAATATGGTAGCAGTCATGTATGATTTTTTTTTTTTTTTTTTAAGGTTTCTAGGCCAGGCCAGTCTCAGGAAGCTTATGAGAAAGGCAGAGAACATCCTGAAGAAGGTAAGATACGTTGTTGTTGTTTTTATAGTAGCTTTACCCAACCTGGCAGTCTCCCATTGAACTGGAAGCACACTTCTTTAACATAACCAGTCAGTGCATATTATGGTACCAGGCTAGATATCTGCTGTGTGGTCTCTGGATTTTGCGGTTTAGATAGTGTATTTGTAATGCTAACCTCTATTTAGTTTGGGTCTTACAGAATCTGAGTAAAGCCGTCTGACAAAACCCATTCTTTTTGAATGTCAGTTGTTGGCTATGAATGTGATTTTGCCATCTTACATAGTGCTTCTGCGCCATGGGAGTGTTTCCCCAAATCAATCCAGTGCCCATTTTTTAAAATGTAGCTTTAAAAGAATAAATTTCGTATCTGTTAGGAAAGCATATGTATTCTATTCTTACCAGACAAGACCACTATTGATTCTCTGTGTGCTCAGACATAATTTATTTGCTTAAGTGCAGAAGTAGTTAACAAATCCTTTTTTCAAAACTGTGATGAGGGAATCTGTTTCATTCATACAATACACTGGGCATCTGTACTGCTAATTAAATGACAGTTGTAAGAAGGTCCACTGGATACTTGGCCAAATAAAGTCTTTCAGTGAGCCCAGTTAGGTGAATGAAATGTTTGACCACAAAATATTTCAGCTTCATGTCAAATCCACAACCCAGAAATGTCTTCTGCTATCTGGGGATAGCACTGAAGGACTGAGTGACTTTTGTCGATAAATATGGACAAGCTAAATAAGTGTTCCAACTTGCACTGCTTGCAAACTAGCCATTATTATTTAAATTAGATATTAAGAAGATTAGAAATGGAGCCTCCTCTGATGAACAAGCTCACCAGTATCAGCAGGGTATTGTTACATGCCAGCCTGAACTCTTTTTCTCCTTAATTGCTTCTAATTGGCCCAATCAGAATAAGCTTGATCATGTTGTATGTGTACAGACTACTAGAGGAAGTTTTAGAATTACACATTAAAAAAATAGGGCATATTAATCATTAGAAAAAGCACATGTAGGTCACTTTGTATATAAACATTCTCTTTTCTCTATAAGTTGTGGTTGTAAACAGATTTATTTGAAGTTTTAATATTGTAGGTGTCTGGTAAGCTACAATTTTTAAGCTTGAAAATATTTGCTGGAAGTCAAACCGTAGAACTTATCACAGAGCATATGTAGGGAAGACTAAAATCTTACATACAGATCTTCTTTCAAGAGGTTTTAAAACTTAACTGAGGAAATACTGATTGCAAAGATGAAGCTTTGAAAAAAATCTAAAGCCGCTAGATGAAAATCATGTTATCTTATATAAAAGTTTCTTTTATATTAGAAATCTAAGCAACAAACCAAATAATAACTCTTCCTTTTTACAGGCAAACACACAGATGGTGTTCTGTACAATAAAGGACCTTCTTATTCTGGTTATTCTGGGTATATCATGATGCCAAATATGAATAATGATCCATATATGTCTAATGGTTCTCTTTCTCCACCAATTCCTAGAACAGTAAGTGTTCTTTACATATATGTGTGTGTGTATATGTGCATGCAGTGAATGGGGGAAAAAAAAGCTATATTTGGAAAGACAAGCTTTGTGTACAGAGCAGCAAACATTTAGTTATGATAACATTTCAAAGGACTGCTTACTACTATGTGGAAATCCTTCTCCTTGGGATCATTTCTAATTGCATTCAGACATTTTAATAATATTCAGAAGCCTGTAATAGAGCATAAGGGGTGAATTGTACAGAATGGCTGGGTGGTATGACTTCAATAGCAGTGTAACCATTGACATATGTTTGTGATGTTCATTATGAAGTACATCTTCATAGGAAGATGCAGCAGTTGCCAGAGTAATTGTTAAATTTCTTTTAAGTTTTCTTAGGATTAAGCTTCATTAGTTCAATGAAGTTGTTACTCCTGAGAAACATATGTGGCGCTGCACCCTTAGTGGTAATTGGATCTAAAGAAGCTGAAGTCTCTAGCGTATCTTACTATATAGCCCAATAGATCTGGGGTTTGAGTTGGGGTAAGACAATCCTATTTTTGCTATATCTATAATAAAAAAACCTTTTAAAACTGCAAGTTACCTCAAGTGCTAATTTTTCAGAGCCCCAAATATTAATTTTATTTTTCTCTTGTTGGGCATTTTTAATTCACACAAATGTGATAGTTTTGGGCTTGCTTAATAATTTATTGAATTCATGGTGGAAAATCGACATGAAGTTGTGGGTTTCTAAATTTTCAAGTTATTGTGCTCTCTATCTCTAAGAGTATATAAAGCAAAGTATTATACGTTGGAGTGTTATAAAGAGGAAGAGTGAAGTGGATTATAGTCCATTAAAGCTCATGCTAAAATGTTTTTGTTTTAGATGGCACACAATTCTTTGGCATTTCAACTGTATTTGAGCCCTGATTGCATCAGGGATGGAATTTAACACACATCTGTAGAATGCACATATAAGCCTAAAAATACTGATGTAGGCATATAAAAAATGTACTTACTACATGTATCATGCAGCCAGAGCTTCAAAATTACTTGTACCTCTGGGACAGTGTGTTTTTAATGGCAAACTTGCTTTAGCACTGTGTGATGTTTGAAGTGGTCTAAGGATACAGTGACCTCATCTGTTTTGGTGTGAATCCTGTTTTAAGTTGGTGGGATTTACTGCTGAGTAAACATGAATATATTGCATTGTGTATCTAAAGATGGTGGATGCTACATTATCTGCTGTGCTTTTGAGGAGAAGAGATAAATTGGTTGCCCAGTGATGTGTATATTTCCAGACATGGTATATTGTTATATATTAACATGTTATGATTTGTAAATTCTGGAAACAAGCCAAATGCCCAAAAATTCAATATATGAAACAGCTAAAAATATTTTACTTTGTGGTTAAAGGTTATCTCCTTCATGTTTGTACTGGCTTCCTCTAGAGACCAATAACTGGTTTGGCTTGATAAATCGGTTTGCATCCATACTGGAGAATGCCAGTATTTTAACTACCAAGTTTTTAATTGAGTGTTGTATGCCACTCAGAGTCACTCTTTTGTGAGATGGGCAGCTATATAAATATGATCAATAAATAAAATAAATAAGTTATCATGGTTTTGTATTTCTGCAATAAACTGAAAATGTGATGGTTGAAGAGGAATTATACCTAATGCTAAATATCATATTGGTATTCGAAATATCAGTGTTCTTGACTATTTTATGCAACTAGTGGTTTGCTTGAAAATTGAGAAAATGGAAAGTACAGTGCAACAGAGACTTCCAGGGCTTATATGAAATACCCTTGCACTAAGGGGACTTGACTAAGGTGGTAATAATAATCTTCATTTTCTGAAATGGTCAACATATCTTGTCCGATATTATTGTAATTACCTTGATTGTATTATGCCACTTTGAATACATTTTCAAATAGTTGAAGGCTTTAAGACTAGAGAATTTACCATAGTTGAAAACTAGTCATTATTTTGTATTTTCCTTTCCAGTTATTTGTTTATTGTGACTATTTTAGGTAGCATCATTCAGTGATACTATGAAACATTCTTTCCAATTTTATCCAACTTCTGTATTTGAAAAAAACTAGAGTTTAAAATCCCATAAGATTGGAAGAAATTTGAATTGAGGGTTAGGATTAGGGTTAGGGTTGGAAGTAATTTAAATGGGGGGGGGGACTTTGGGATATTTTCAGGTAGTCATTAGGAAGATTCTCCCCTACAAATACATCTGAAGATTTGTGTTACCTTGTCAGACACCAGTTTGGGAACACATACTTTCTAGGATAAATCTGCCCTCAGCTTCTTCCTCTTCCCAGGAAACCCCAAATAAGTTAACACCATCTTTGAATACTTTCTCTTTTTAGACAGATTCAAACTGAAGACTGCTCTGATAGATTAAATGCAGATGGTTCTTGGTTGAGTTGAAATAATCATTTGTGTGTGGATTTGTTTTAGGGTACACATGTGGAATTCTTCATTAGCATAACAAAGTATCCACAGGTTGACTATACATGTTGCCCAAGGTGTTAGTCAGAATTTGAACCATCAAGGACAGTGCCTTTTTCTCAATTTATACTCAACAGCCTGACTTATTCATGTGCAGGGAATGTAATGAATACCATTACTACTTTACATAAGTCTTTCCAAACGAATAAATGTTCTGTTACCATTTTTTTCAGTATGGGGAAAAAACTTGTTTATTGTGAAATCCTTGGTTATTTCTCTACTTAGGATGCTAATCTAATTCCACAACCCTGAATATTTTGAGTACACCCCATGGGAAGGAAAAAAAAAAAACCGAACAGAAATATACATACAAAATTTCTCTAAAACAAGTTTTAATGTTGCTTCTGTAAAGCTTGAATGCATATTGCATAACATGCCAAACAAAAGGATATTACTAATGGTGTGCTTAAATTTTGATGCAGTATAGCAATGTGGTAGAACTGCAATATATATGGGTGTCTTTTGGTACAATTTTCAACATTGCTGACATTATGAAAGGTTCAGATGATTTGAAAATCCCATTCTGTGTTAGTTAAATTGCAGATCTATATGGTATTCTAGGTTATTTTGGGAAAGGTGGTATCTTTATGTAGGGATGAGCAGGGTTGGGTATCTGTTAGGATTTTTCTTTCTACATCTTGATTCTTTTGATTTTGTTCACAAAATCAAAAGGAGTTAGGCTATACAGCGTAACTCCTTTCAGTGAATAAGCTATACTATGTGATAACTCCTTTGTCATATCTTGTTTGCAAAGTTTCCTTTCAGGGACTGTTTATACAACAACTAAGTGTAGAAGAAATTTGACCAAACTGAATTATGTAACATATTTAAGAATCCATGACTTTCTATACAAACCTTGCTCTGTAAAATAATGAATTTGCTAAAATAGTAACATAAATTGTGCCTTAAAAGATGAAAATGATTACTGTTTTTGTTGGAAAAACATTTTAACAGTTACTTATTTTTTAAAAATCTCTCCTGTTATATTTTGCCTAACTTGCCTTCATTTTGAAATTCCTAATATTCTCGTTGAATATCTGAAGTTACAAGCTTCAAATTTACTAAGAAAGAAGCTGCTATAAACCTTGGAAGGAAGCAGGAGTTGGAAACCCCAAAGGCAAAAACCTGCTCTTCTCAAAACAAGTCATCATATAGCCCAAATATTAAGAATGAGATATTTAATCCTTGTGAACATAGCTTTGGGTTCCCTTTTGGCAGTTTCTGGTATAGCAGAGTGTGAAATAATGGAAAGAGATGGAGAAGGAAGATCGCTATATATTTTTTAGTATTTTATGGGATCTTATTCCTGTAAATAACGGCACATTATTCAATAATCTATTCGTATCTCTTTCCCAAGCAATTAGATTAAAGCTTGAGTAAAATCTTGGGTGGCAAGATTCAGTAATTCTGTGTTATGTAGTGTTGGATTCTCAGTAAGATGCTTCTAATTTCTAGTTAAAATTATTAGATCTCTGCTAAAAAAAAAATTTTTTTTTGCTCAACGGAAGAGACCATATACTTTTTAATACAATAAATGGGCTAAGCACTAATTTTAAACTGCTATAAGTGTAGTTTGTAGCACTGAAGTTGAATGTTATCTTAGTTTTAACAAACATTCCAATCTTAGTGAAATCCAAAATGAATGTGAATAGGAATTACCTTACTGTACAACATAGATGTCTCTAAAAACCTGATAATAGGATGAAAGGAATTTAATTTCAATTTCAAACCACACTGATTTTATTTTATTTTATTTCATTTCATTTCATTTCATTTCATTTCATTT